GTACCGCTGCCAAGTTAAGCTGCTGTTGGTGTTGCCAGCGGCTCAAAGGCACTACTTACCACAAATATGTGGTGCAAGCCACCGCCGCTGCCGTCGCTGCCGCCAGAGTTAGAGCTGCAGCCAAAGCAATAAACGGAGCCACCATACCAGCCACGAAGCGACCACAGTAGCCGGATTGTCGGCAGCATCGTACATTTATTACGCTGTGTTGCTGTTGTATTACTTTTTTCCATCACTTATTTCCCATTTATGTGTATTACAATAAGTAAGTTTTTGGAGCTGGAGCTGGAGCTGGTAAGCACCGAAACGGCGGGCGCTTCATTAAGCTGGGAGTCGGACTTTTACCTTCAGTTACAGACGAGTTTCAGAGCAGTGCGGTTCGTTTAGTTCGATCGTTTTGTATTGAGGTTTGTTTTGTCTAAATAAACATTGTAAATAAGTCAACGATCAGCATCAGTTTGCATCGTGTGGTTGACAGAGTTATAAATATATATCTATATAAAGTGACATACATACAAATGTACATGTATTTGTGCTTGTGTTAAAGTTCGTTTGACATTTTTTTAAGGCTTGGTTTCCAGCAAACAAGTGCCAAAAATAGTTTGCACAAAAAAATTCGCTGACGTGCTGAGTACACACCCACAAGAATCATACTCCTTTTTAAATAAAATAAATAATAATAAATGCTTGAGACAGTAAATCAGTACATTAAATCATATAAAACCTATTGGGGCATTATATTTAAATTTAAATTCACTTGAGGTTTTACTACGTTGACTGATAGTCAGCAGCCACTCTGAGGGTCAACACAATTCTTTGGTTTTGAACTTTAGGTTTTTAGGCTCCTAATTATACATGTACACTTTCGACCGAGCCCCTCCACCAATTTGTGAATTTGCGTCTTGATGTTTTTCCAACAAATGGAACACGTCCGAACGGCTGATGGTTTTTTAATCAGGAATTTTTTTTTTCTGTCATGAATACACTCTAAGGAGTTAACATTCCCTGCCGAGGGGCGACCGTATTCAGAAAATTTATCTCAATTCTTTATTTAAATTAATTTTCCATAACTTTCGGATGTTGCTCGTACCAGAATTTGAGCCCGTGCCTTCCGAATGACAGCTGAATGCTAACCACTCGGCTACCGCGGTCCACATTTTCAGTTATAAATATTACGGCTCGACCTTTTGAAATATTGCAGACATGATAGACTGGATGTGGCCTTTTAAGGTGTTCCGATTTTCATAAGAAAGTTTTTTCTAAACAATTAAAAGCCTTGTCCCGTCCTTCTTGCTGTGAATCTATGCCATCCATGGATAGTTCCCCATAGAAGATTCCATCGCGAACTTTTTCATCAGACGACAGCTTTCCATCAGAACCTAGCCTTATAAAGTTTGCATTATGTGACCTTTATCTAAGTACCCAACTTTAACTTGTTGGGTTTCGAAAAGGCTCTTCCTAACGGTCCAGTTGTTCGAACTGTTAGTTTATTTGATGAAAACCTCGAAAGAATGATATCGAGCTGCTGGTAGAGATAAATAGCGTCAGAGGTAGCGTTGGCGCTTTGTAACCTTTTAAGAGATTTACGATCGAGCTGCTCCGGCAATTTATGGTAAGCCTCTTGGTGGTTATTCAACAAATGGAGGGACTTATAGTCCCGGCCATCGAACGGTCATTGGATTTATACGAGGAGCTTTTTATTTCAAGTACTCGAGGTTGTTATTGTTATTGTTGTAACCGCAAAAATATTCTTCAAAGCACTTTTTGGGGAATGTTGCGGAAGTCACAGTTCTTGGCCGGATTAAAAATCCGGGTCGTTCCGGCCCGACTGTCGCGGGAACTATTGGATTTTCGGACTCGGAGTCTTGACATTCCCTGTGGAAGGGCGACTGCAAGTTGAAAAACTAATTTTGGATATTGGTCGAACCAGGACTCGGGTTAACCTCTCGACTATTGTGGCCGCCAAGACAACAAATTTATAGTATTCAAGAGTCAAGGGCTGATCTAAGTATTTCTTTGGCCGACAACAGATCTATGCGTAAAGTTGTTACCCTTTTTTCTACCACGTCTGCCACGCATTAACCTGGAATGATTTAGTGTTCGAAGGTCTGTTTTTGTATGTTATATCCCAGCTCCTTATGCATTAGATGAGGTCTTCAAAATACGTGATTCATACTTATACGTTGTGGTAGGGGAACATTAGCAGCGAGAGTCTGCTCAGAATTTCACACAAGCTTGTCAAATGATTTACTTAGTTTCTAAGAAGAGCCTCCAGATCATATGGGAGAGATTTTGTAAATTTGAGCTCGCGACCATGCTCTTCAGCGTAGCATCGATCGGCGTGCCTTACTACTGACGCACTAAGCGTGCAACTAGTTGGACTCAGAAGGCTGGAATTTTTGTTGGAGCTCTTTTTGTTGATGTTAATATTGTAGCGGGTTGATCCTGTTCCTGACTCCTGTTTAGGAGCAGGCAAATTTAGTCATTTTTTGGGCGGCATAGAAAATTAGCAGTTTTAACGAGCCCATATCAGAGAGAGTGGGTTATCAGATATTATCCAAACCTCCGGAGAGAAGAAAGTTAATAAAGGTATTGGTAGAGTCTCTGTGAAAAGCCACGTTCCAAGTTAGATCTGACTTGACACGGAGTTTATTCAGGGAGGGAGAGTTGTACATGTAGGTGTACTGCCGTTGGTGCTAATAATACTCTCAGTCGAAATGAGTACGAGGTAAACGCTCTCCGTGCATCAATTAGTGACGTCGTAGAAACTATTTTTGTTTTTATTTTGCAATTTTTCAACAATGCTTATTTCTTGTTTTTTTACTTTTGAAATTGAGAATCGTCGATTTGATAGAAACAACTTTTTTATACTCTGTTTTCTATATATTGTTTTTAGTAATTTTTTATTTTTTTTTTATTTTTTTTCTCAATAAGTTTTTTTTTATTAGAAATAGAAAGTTAAAGTTTACGTATTCTAAGTTTTGTTTTAATAGTTTTTAGCTTTTTTATTTTCTTTTTAAATTTTTTTAAAAAACTTTTATCAATTTTTTATTTTCATTTTTTACTTGACTTTGGTTTTATTTTAATAAATTTTAATATTTACAATTTTCTCTTGGGTTCCTATACGAAATTCAAATGTTTTAAAAAATTTTTTAATTTACTATTACATATTTGTTTAATTATAATTTTTTAACAATACCTAATTTTTTAATGAATTTTTATTATTTTATTTTTAATTTCTTTTCTTTTCTAAATTAATTTTTTAATAGTAATTTTTTATTATTTTTAACTTTTTTAAATAAATTTAATATTTTTTTTTGATTTGCTTTTGCTTTTTCTTCTAAAAATTGTTATTATTTTCAAAATTCTTTTTATTTTATATTTCATTTTTTTAATAACTTCAATATGCACATTTAAAATTTTTATTCTTTGTTTCTTCTTTTTACTTATACTTTTCTACATTTATTTGATTTGTTTTATTTAATAATTTTCATGTTTTTAATATTCTTTATCATCATTTATTTGTATTTTTTTTACTATTTACTTAATTTTTTTATTTGTTTTTTTTTCAGTATTTTTTTATTAATCTAGTTTTTATTTTTTTATTTTTTTTTATATTTTTAAAGTTTCACAATTTTTAAAACAAAAATTTTTAAAGGAACTCAAACGTTATTCTTATATACTTTTATTTTTACAGTATTTTTTTTTATGAAACTTAAAAATATAGTTATCATATTTTATTTCAGAATTTCAAATTTGATATATAATACTTTGTACTTAATTCTTTTAATTCTAAATTTTTTTTTTGGTAATTTTTTTTGTTATAAGTTTTTTAAATGGTTTTAAATTTATTATTTTTTAATAATAAAATTTTTACTTTTTTTAATTAATTAATTAATAATATTATATATTATTAGATTTTGATTTTTTTTGAATAAAAAATGTTTTGTTAATTTTTGTTAAGCGATCAGTTCAAATATTTTGATGTTTTTATTATTAAGTTAGGCTTAGCTGACCTGGTTTAATTAGTGCAAAATAAGGTATATATAAATAAGTGGATAAATTAGTTTTATTTGCACTCATTAAACCAGTTAAGCCTAACTTAATAATAAAAACATTAAAAAATGTTTTGTTTTATTTAATAGTTTTATATTTTTTAAACAAGCTTTTTAATTTAATTTTCGTATAATTTTCAGAATTACCTTTATTTTTTTTAATTTTTCGTTTAATTATTTTCTTAATGATTTTTAATTTTTACAGCACTAATTCTTTAAATCTTATTTTTTTAAATCCAAGTATTTTGTTTATATAATAATTTAGCTTTTTTCAAACAATGCTTTTTATTTTAATTTGCTCTTAATTTTTATTATAATTTATTTAAATTTTAAATATGTTTTTCAATATTTCCTTTCCAATTTATTTGTTTTTTAACTAATTAATTTCTGGAAATTATTCTTCAATGATATTTAATTTTTTTCAACATTCGCTTTTAGTTTTACAGTTTTTTTTTTAATTCTTCAAACTTTCGTTAATAGTTATTTAATTTTTATATTTAATTTTTAATTTTGTACTGCACATTTTTTTAAATTTTTATTTAATTTTAAAACTTTTTTTTCCGTTTTTTTGTAATTTTGTGGGTGCACATCAGCGCATCATCGAATGAGTGAAAACACAATAAATCATACGTGAACAGAGAAATCAAGTCAAAATAAATTACAAATACAAATCTTAATAGCAAATTATAAAAAATATATATGTATATAAATAATCTCATTAGTGTATAGTTGGTGAGAAAACGAAGAAAAGAAATTGTGAAAGTTCATTGAAATTACGGCCGGAAATATAAATCGCATACATACAAACATATTACAAGTACATTATAAGGCAAAAAAATATTACTGTTGTTGCCCGAACAAGTAATCAAAGTAATCAAATAAAGCATTAAAAATATAAAAGCGACCGGAACAAGCGAGAAATTTCTCAAAAAAGTGTTGGAAAAATTTGCAAATTATAAATAGCACGGGAAAGGATTTTTAAATAACAATTATTAAAGAAAAAAAATTGCAAGCAAAAAACGTGCACAACTAAAAAGCGCTCAACTAAAGAAAGCTGAAAAATAAAAAGTCTTCAAAAGCCAGCAACATGTTGCAGCAACATCAGATGTTTATATTGACCACCGCCGTGCTATTTTTAATGGGTAAGTAAGCAATGCTTTGAATTTTTTAATTTCGAATGCTCATTTTTTGGCCACTTCTTAAATACGAACACTCATGTGGGGTTAACGAACCCTTTTTCGTGCCAAAGAAATGTGAAAAATGAATAAATAAATATAAAATGTTAAAAGTAGACAATTGCAATTGAAACCCAAGAGTGGATACAAAAAAAAAAAAATATTAAATAAAAGTTTCAATTTTTTTTTTGGTTCAAAATAAACATGAATTCAACATTAATGAATTTTTTTATGAAACGTACGTGATTGAATTGTTAATTGGTCGCTTAATGGATTTTTATGTAATTTAACGTTGACGCAAAGCGTTTGGCCGGCGGCTGCTTTAACCGCAAGAAATGGGTTCACAATCAAATTGTGTTGTACACACGTGTACATATGTATGTATTTGTCTTGAGTCTTTAGATATGTCATGAGTGTGTACACACATCTACTTGTGGTCTATTATGGCTTAAGGATGGTTGAGTGAGTGCGAAGATGTTTTGTCTTTAGGGTCACTCCCGCTAATCTTATTATCTTCTGCGCCTCTCTTTAATGCATCAAATTTACGCGCATACGGGTTAATTAATTAATTTATTTTTGAAATAAAATTTTTGGGTCATAACGTGTTGAATGCAAATGATTGTTGAAGATGATGAATGGTGTTTTTGTAGAAGTTTTACAGTTTTTTTAATAAATTTCGATTTTTCTTTGTATTTTTTCGCGAGCTTTGGTGGATTAAAAAAGTGGGAATGGACTTAATTTTCTTCGGCGGGGCCAAAAACTCTATTGGAAACATGCTTTGAAGCTTAAAAAATAAATATAGTATTTTTGTAGATGGACTTGGCTGAAAGAGTTTTAAAAGAAATGGGAGAAAGGCTTGGTTACGATTAACTATAAAATCGATCTGAACTGACTTAAGCCTGCAGAATTTTGGTACAAGAAACAATCTAGGCTAGCGATACTTTAAAAGATATCAGAGTATATTATAAAGGAATACTTACTAGACGTAATGGGAGAAATGGCATTGGGTGCAAAGATGCCATGTAAGAGATTTAATTGAAATTCGAAGTTGACCCCCATCATCTCCAATAGATATTTCTTCACTGTTCTCTAGCTCCTCTGGTGCTTGCAATATCTAATATTGCCTAAACTGACGTATAAGTTATTCCTCGGCCGACTTTTATGTTTGGAAGATGTAGTTCAATTGTTTTCAATCCTCCGTCTGTGCGTAAGGAATTCGTTCCTTTAGCACTCGTAGAGCACTAGTTCGAAACCAATCTCCTAATCTTTTTTCATCCGTTTAAAAATATAGCTAAGCTCCCTATGAACTTTGGTTGCTGCCTTATATAGAGCTTTGGTCTACCAACTCTCCCTTATGGGTTTTACTCTTTTAACACTTTCAAAACCCCATTTAAGCTGCAGTAGTCTTTTATGGCAGTAAGACTACAAAAGTGAGAACTGCTCCCTTTACAGCAAAGATGTAACCGCTAGCGACAAGTCAAGTAAACTTGCTCTGCCCTCCGGTGGTAGAAGCCTCTTCTCCTATTATTGTTTAGGCTGACATCCCTGCCAGCTCCCACTCTTTATCTACCATCAGGTTGAGTTTATCTATCGGAGAGCATCAATCTGTTGCCAGGTATTATTTTAGAAATGTCGGCCTTCACTAGATTCCGCCCGCTCGCACTACCAAGACCCGCTCCACGTACAAGCCTTGATTTTATATCAGTGCGGCCTCAGCCTCACTAATTTTGCAGTCGTCATCCGCGAAGAGGACACAGCTAAGAGGATTTCCGTTGACACTCTCTCCAGGAAATTTTTGAAAATATCTTTTTCTTTCACGTAAGACACCATATGCCAGAACAGCAGCGCACTTATAGCATTTTAAGAATTTCTCCAAACTCTCCCAATTGAAAATTATATGTATATTTTTGAAATAATGCATTTTCTTAATTCCCAAAAAAATGCCTTTTGCTCCCTCTCTGAAGAGCAAAAAAGAAAAGAAAAAAAGAAAAAATTTAGTGCAAAGTGTAATTGAAAGTTAATCGGCTTTCGCAGTTTGGGCCTGAAAAATGTAAAATTTTAAACTTATTTCGCAATAGATACGGCTAAACAGCTTATCTGGCCGGAAGTAGGCATATGGAGTGATGTCCGGCGTAAAGAAAAAGAAGAAGCACAAATAGCTCATAGAAAAAATGAAAATCATTTTCGAAAGCAGCTGAGTGGAAAAAGTTAATCAGCAAAAACCAAGTGAAAAGAAAGCAAATAAGTTGAATACCGAAAGGAATTAAAAAGTTCTATCCACACAAAAGGAGCAGGCGGAGGCGAGCGGATAATGCTGAGAGTAGGCGTTAAATATTTTAAGCGCGCAACTTGAGAAAGCAGCAAGGCGTACAAGAGTCGAGGCAAGAAGACATTGCCACTCATGGAAAAATGTGTGAAAGTGAGGAAAGTGCGCAACGTGGAGGGTGACAGTGGCGTAAACGGCGGTCGGACAAATGTTGGCGTTAGAGTGTAAAACGATTTGTACAAAACCGCAAAAACAATTATTTTCAAATTGTCTGCAATATGCCGCGACAGCTGACCACAGAGAGATGTGGGCTTGTGTAAAAACAGAAAGAAAAAAAAAGAAAAAAAATTAAATAAAACTCTTCACGTTGTTGCTACAAGGAATGCACTTCCTCGGCTGCTCTTCTTCTTATTCTTGTACTACTGCTACAACTCCTCGCACCACTTGAAGTGATAAATGAATTTGTCGGGGGCCACAGCAGTTGGCAGCTGCCACAAGGCAACAAAGTATGTGCACAATGATGTGCGAATTCCACGCTTTTTCAGCTTAATAAATCCTAATTGATACATTCCTTGCCCCGACACACTTTGATCTATTGCGTCTATTTGTATTTCAACCGCTCAAAGTATTAGCGGCGACAACGGCACAAGGATTTTATAGCCCATACAATGTGGCGCTTACGCCAATACACCAACGCAAATAGAATGAAGATTTCTTCGTCTGGTTCTCCTTTTAGGCTTCCTCTCTTGCCTGGCGTGATTCATACCCTTCCCATCCCAGCCAACACCGTAAACTTCGCACACAAAAATTACATTGAAATTCACTTAAACTTTTCTTTATCTTTTATCTAATTTATTTTTGAGACTTTTTTCATTTTTTCATTTTGAAATTTTGTTCGTGGATGATTATGCTCATTCGCTGCGTTCGATGGTTTAATGGTTTGGCGCGGTCTTCTAGCCGAGTGCATGGCTTCGCACATTGAGTTATCTGAAATTTGATTGAATTTTCCACTTTCGTTTTTCTACAGCGGTGACCAGCAAACCAATCGACCCATAACCAATCGACGCTGCTACTCACTAACGCTACACACGGGCAATTCATCTGCCGGGACGCATGGCATTTTATGTGGCCTTCTGTTAGTCGGTATCCCTTTTTAATGGGTTTCAGTGACATTATCTCATTTTTTACTATTTTCATTCGTTTATAATTTCACTTTGCTTTCACTCATTTACGTTTTGGATGGATTTGGTTTTGTAGGGAAATGTATTCGTACTTGGTTTTGAAGAAGGTTTAGTACACTCTTGGACTATTCTTGTATGCATAAAATGGGTTTTTAAGCGGACTTTGTAGATCATGAGACCCTTGTCTGATTTTAATGAGGTTGTCGTGACTGTCAGCAGGATCTCCGTACTCGGGAGACCATTTCGAAATTGTCCAAGTCCCGTTTTTGCTGGGTTCTAATGTCTGACGGCCGCTGAAGGCAAGGGTGTAGCAGTACATATCTCGAACCTAATGATAGAAGAATGGAAAGGTATGTTTCTGTTCCTCTTAATTGAGAGTGACAGTCCTTATTCTTCTTTTTTGCCGTTGGCACCGTTTACGTGATTATAGCCAAGTCAATATTAGCTCGCCATTCATCCCTTCCTTTCGCTGTTTGGCGCCAGTCGGAAATACCAAGTGAAGCCAAGTCACTCTCCACCTGACCCTTTCAGCGAAGTGGAGGTCTTTCTATTCCTCTGCGTCCATTAGCGGGTACTGCATCGCATAGTTTCAAAACTGGCATACTTTCATCCATTCGGACGACATGACCTAGCCAGCGTAGTCGTTGTCTCTTTATTCACTGAACTGTATCAATATCATCGTATAGCTCGAACAGCTCATCGTTTGATCGTCAGCGGTATTTGACGTTACATCGTTTTCAAATTCTTCTTTCGAGAACTCCCAGGGCCTTCTGATCACCGCTTCAGCGATTGTTATAGCCTATGATATCAATATCCTCGGCATACGCCAATAATTGTACACTCTTTTCCTTGGCCGAATAAAAATTCGAGTCGTTTCGGTATAAAGATCTAACTATCGTGAGTAATTTTGGATTTTATCACAGGAATGCCTTCCTACTGGTACTCGGATCAATAACAACGCGTCGGTCGTTTTTTCCCCTCGCCACTGCCCGTCTATTGGAGACACCAAATGAAACCAGGTGTTTCTATCCATTGTCCTTCCAACGGAGTAGAACTCTTCCTATTCCACTCTAACGAGTACTGTTTTCGTTCGATTGAACGACTCAATCTAGTCAGCGCAGCCGCTATCTCTTAATTCGCTGAACTATGTGAAAGTGCTCATAGAGCTCATTTTTACATGTATTTGCGTCTTGTTCCGTTCATTACCATATCTATACGTCTCGTCTCCTTATTATTTCAAAAGAAAGTATGGCGCGATTGTTGTGGCCGATGATGACAATATCATATCGTTACCTCTATATAGAAAACGAGAGCTACGTGTGGTGAATTTTAAAAGTTTCAGCTGCCTAATTGGAGTCTATGTACTCGTAGGTGCGGAAGATCTCAATCCCTTTTTCCATAACATTTCATTCCTTCATCTGATCAAAAGCAGTTCATAAGAAGCAGGTTAAGCTCAATTCGCTAGTGTCTATCAGTATGGGTATTGAGTTTTCAATTTTGAAATTCACATAAAGACATCT